CACATATTGTATTTATGAGAAAAATGGTAATATTAATCACACGTTGTTTATTTTTACTCTTTAAATTTGAATGGCTTGGAGGAATATAATTTATACGCGTAAAATAAGACTTGCGGTGAACACATAATAACTTTTGAATGTTTTTTCAAGAAAATATAGAGACGTCTAAATCAATGTTTCTCTATGGCTTTCATATAAAAATAANACGTGATTCAATTCAAAGAAGGGTCTTTAATTATAAACAATCTAAACAGAAAAGGTAACAAAATCATGCAATAAAAATGTAAAATCGAGATAATTAAGCCAAGAATAAAAACAGTTAAGCGACCGTGCTAGAACCACGGAATTCGGAAATGCCTAACACCTTCTTCCGGATTAACAGAATTCCTTACTCAGGATTTCTGGTTCGCAGAATAATAAACAGAGTCATATTCTCCTCGATTCAGGGATTAAAACCGGTGACTTGGGACGCCTTAAAATTCCCAAGTGGCGACTCTGAAACAAACAAACAAATCCCCTTTCGACTGTCCTTTAATTGGAGAAAACTCCCTTCACCCCTCGCGGGGGCGGAAAAAGGAGGTGCGACAATGATTTTCCGACGACTAAGATGAAGAAGATGGAGTATCGTTTTTAAGTGTTTTCCTTTTATTTTAAATTGATGACACGTATCAAAATCTTATTGGTGCGTGGTATACACTTGTTGAGAAAAAGTGGTCAAATACTAAAGTGGTGTGTATTAGACACACTTTTAAAAGGTTGAATGTGTAATATTATTTTCCCCCACAAAAAATGTGTAACAGAGATTTGATCGATAGCTCAGGTGTCTAACTTATGTATTTAGCCTTCCCGAAAATCATAATGAAGCACCATGTTCACTATGGCATTACTATGGAAATCACAAAACAAACTACAGTAGTATGGTCTAACTTTATTCAAAAATGAAACTAGAATTATATAGTGAATCAAATAACAATATCATGTCTTTTATTGTTCTTTTAGTATGCACATACTCCATCCTTAAAAAAATTGTTTGGGAACTCTTGAGAGTGGTTTCTTCTATATTATCATGGCAAAAAAAAGATTATTTCCTTCCAAGAAAACATTTGAAATTAGACTAAGCTCCCAATCTTAATGGTAAACGTGCACAAAATAGTTATTTGTAACATACAATGAGTAATACCTTGAGGATCAGTCCTGAATTTCCTTTCTTCTTTTAATCTCATGTTTGTTCTCTCGCATAAAAACATGGAACTGAAAAGTGGATACGTCCCGTGATTTTGAGATTCCAGTTCCACAATATTGGTGCTATAATTTTCCATTCTTGGTTAAGCTGTTCTGTTGGGAAATTATCCAGTTTTCAAGCGTATGTTTGAGGTAGAATACATAGTTTTGAGTAGTTTTGAAAGACGCTGACATAGAGCAATGACAACAATACCTCAGCGGCAAGATAGACAGGGGCACCAGCGCCAACACGTTCGGCATATTTACCGGCTTTAAGAAAACGGGCAATTCTGCCAACAGGGAATTGGAGGCCAGCCTTCTGAGATCTTGATGACTTTGGTTTGCCTCTGCCTCCTTTGGTTGACCCTACCGAACTCATTTGTTTTCTTTTTACTATTAATGGAAATGAGAATTTCTTAGAATGAGAAACTGGATCACCACCATGACTCCCTTATATACGAATCGTGAAATATGGGGTTTTCAATTGTCATAAAATTTTGCTTGTTTTCATTGGTTGATAAAGGATTACATAGACCCCAGACTGTTGACTAGTGCTTAATTTTGTTATCCGTTAATAATTAGCAACAAAAACTGGACAAAATTGGGCATTTGAAATCTAATCACCTATATTTTATTATGACAAAATCTTCCATCATTGAAAATATTAGTAACTAATACTGAACATCAACACATCTCTA